ACTTACCCTCCCATGAGGTGCATCCTCATGGGAGGGAATATCGACTGGGAATCGGCGATGCATCGCCGATCAATCGGCAATAGGCCCGCAAGACTGGAACCGCGCGCTCATAGGTGGGGCTGGCCCCCCACGCACCCAAGCGGCGCCTCCGTCGCCGCTCTCAACCAAGGGCGCGGGCAAGAAGGGTCAGCGCCGACACGGGAGATGTGCTCCGACCTCCTAAACGATATGCCGATGCAAGTGCTCGATCTTCTGGCGGTTGCCTCGTGGGCGCGGTTGCTTCGTGGGGCCCTCAGGACGCCCCTCGCAACCGTGCCGACGCATGTAATCCCTTGGCGCACCTGCAACATTCGCACGTGCGCCCAGCCGAGGGCTTTACCCCAAGCCCAAACACACAACTCTTCTGCGAAGCGTGGCGCTCGAGGGGCCCCATCCCAGAGCCAGCGGGCGGGCGACTAGAAGATTGGATCTGCCAGAAACTTCCCCACTGGCTGGACCAGCGAAGCCGCGCCGATCCTCGTAAAATTCACAGGGTTCCTCTCACAAGAATGGGGCGTCGCCCAGCCTGGCGGCTAAAGTGAATCCTTCGGCGCAGAGTTGTCCCCGCCCTTCCCCGTTCCTCAGTATAGGACCTCCGACGCAAAAGTTAAGCGGACGATGCAACTGCAACAAATGACGTAGAACGACTGGGACCATGCAGATAAACGGACTCATGGGGCTCCGTACGCACAGCGAGCGCATCTGGAGAGGTGAGCATGTATGCGGCCGCCCTTCCGAGTGGATATTTGACAGCAAACTCCGCTTGTCCTCGGTGTTTCACACACATGTTCATGCCCGTATGCCCACGAACGATTCACAGCTCAACCGCACCGAACGCGAACCATGGTGGGATCCTAGCTGCACTCCCCCCCCTTTCCGATCCTTCTCCTGATGCCCGAACTTCGTCCCGAGCCCGCGAGGCCTTGTCCGCGTCGGCCTCCGCGGCCCGGTCCGCCTCGGCGGCGCTGGCGCGGTTTTCGCGTAACTTCTCCCGGCAGCGCTCCGCCTGAGCCTCGAGCTGGCGCGCCTGCGGGGGTTGGCCCTTCCTCGGGGGCAGCAGTGCAAGGAGGACACCCCTCGTCATCGTTGCCCTACTCGCTCCTCTTTCTCCTCCGCTTCCCGTTTTCCTTCGTCATCCCTGCTCCTCTTTCCCCTGCTCCGCCACGTGCTCCATGTCCTGCTTGTCCCCCTCGTGTCCATCGTCCTCCTCCTCGCCCCTTTCCTCCCATTCCTCCTCCTCCTCCTCCTCCTCTTCCTCCTCCTCCGCACTGTCATCTTAACAACCTTCTGTTCCCCTCATCCATGGCCCCCTCACTCCTCCTTCATCCCCTGCTCCATCTGTGCAAATATCTCGTCATCTCTGCTCATCAAGGTCCTCGTGTTCCTCTCCTCCTTACATTCCATTTCACTGCTGCTGGAAACGTGCAAGGGGCACGTCCCTCAATTGGCAGAGGGGGCCCGAAACAAAACCAAAAGAGGGTGAGCCTGCACTCCTATGGGATTGACTGGCTTGGTGATTTCCCCGCGGAGCTCAGACACACAGAACATCTGAGTGCCCGTCCCAATGTTTCAAAGGAGGACGAGGAGGAAGGAGGAGGAGGAGGAAGAGGAGAAGGAAGAGGAGGAGGAGGAAACGGGGTAGGGTGGAGGAGGTGGAGGGGAAGGAGGAGGAGGAAACGGGGGAGGGTGCAGGTGGGAAGGGGGCAGGGTGGATGACGAAGGGGGACCTCTTCACTTCCCCCCTCGTTCCCGACCGGCCTCGGCGTCGAGGGCCTGCAGCTTGGCCGCGCGGTCCGAGTCCTGCCTCCCGCGGCAGCAGGGCCAGCACCTGCGCTCTCGCTGCCCGCCTCCTCCTCCTCCTCCTCCTCCTCCTCGTCCTCCTCGTCCTCCTCCTCCTCCTCCTCCTCCTCCTCCTCCTCGTCCTCCTCCTCTCATCCTCCTCCTCCTCCTCCTCCTCCCCTCCCCCCCTCCCCCCCCCTCCCTCCCTCCCTCACGCCCACCTCCCCTCCCTCCCTCCCTCCCTTCCCTCTTCCCTCCTTCCCATCTCGGCCCGGCGGCGCCAGAGTTGGCCCCGCACCCCGTCGCCGTGGGGACCGCCGGGCAAGCGGGAAAGAGTCTAGTCTGCTAATTACGGGGAGAAGGAGGGGGACGAGGAGGGAGGAGGAGGGGAAGGTCGCGCAGAAGGCGCACCGGCAAGGGCGGCCCGGCAGGGGAAGGGGAGGGAGGGGGAAGGGAGAGGGGGACGGGGGGCGGCGGTGTCCGTCGGCGTGGTGGTGGTGGTCAAGCTGGTGGTGGTCGTGGTGGTCGTGGTGGTCGTGCTGGTGGTGGTCGTCGTGGTGGTCGTGCCCGCTTGCTCCTCCTCCCCGTCCGCACCCCCACAGGCCCCCTACGCCCACCTCTTCCTCGTCAGCCCGGATCCTCCCCCTCCTCCCTCATCCCTCCTCGATGCTGCCGTTCTGTCCTCCCCGCTTTTCCCTCCTCCGCCTCCATTCTCGCCAGGCGCGCGTGCGGGGGCGCGCAGAGGAGTATGGGCTCGCTGCCTTCTGGGCGCGACCTCATCTGCACCATCGGGGGCCGCCATGGCGCCTGAGCCGGCGGCTGCGTCCCGGCTGGGGCCACAGGATGGCGAGAACGTGCGCAGACTGTTCTGAACGCTCCTTCTTCTTCACGGAGTTCTCGTCCTCCGCCTGCTCCAGTGACCTCTGCGATACTCGGCTGAGGCCCCGCGCCCCCTCCACTTCCAAGCGTCTTTGTGGCGATTCCGAAAAGGCGATCCAGCGGGTCACGTTGAAGCAATCGCCCACTGGAGCAACCGTATACGCAATGTTTGAGATTCTGATTTCGGACGGTGGTAACGAAAAAAGGCGCAGGAGCAGTCGGACGCAGATGTGGAGAATATGATTCCTCTATAGAATGTGTGGGCAGGACTCGGCCTGGATACGAGCGAGCAGACAAACAGGCAAGCCAGCCAAACGAGCACACGCAAGCAATCACGCCATGCGAAGCCACGCTAGCAAGCAATAACACACTTCGAACACTGGCAGCCAGACAAGCCATGCAACTATAATAAAACACGTAAGCAGACCAATCACATGCAAGCTAGCAACCAAACAAACAGACAACCAATCATACATGTGAATGTCAACACTCATGATACCAACCAGGTAAGAAAACATAGCTGTCGAATGCGCAAACGCCCACGAACAATAGTTGGCAACTCAAGACGCACAGCATGCCATGCAAATGCAAACAACACAACCAAACAACCGAACCAATCGACGCAAGCGCGGGGCAACGAAAAAACGCGATGTCCATGATCTATCAAAGGCGCGAGCTGAAGAGAACGAGACACCTACATCACTGGCATACTTGGGGGACAATTTGCCTAGTATGCATAATTTGACGACAAAAGGCATCACACTGCGCAAACAATATGCAACGGTCAAATCCGCAAGCCGCAAGATAGTACCAGGTCCCCATTGAGTACAAAACCCGACTTCGTTGCTCAGATGCGAGTGCGCAACTAAACTGTTCAAACATGAACATGCTCCCAGAGGACTCTGGAGATCTCCGGAGGCCCAGAAATTCGCAAAGCCTTCCCAACAACTTCATCCTCGAGGGCTCGATACTCCATCCTCGGGTATTTGTGGACGGAACGACTCGGACGGCATCGCATACGCCGCCTGGCTCTCCGACAGGCCAGCGCAGGCGTGGACCCCTCGCCGTCATCCGCTTGCTATACCTGTGCTCCTGCATCTCCTCGCCCCTGCGACCTCCCGCTCCCCAACACTCGTCCCCCCAGTCCCCATCCTCCGCCTGCAAGGCTGTCCTCCTCGTTGCCCCTCCCCCCCGGCCACTCCTCGCCCCTCCGCTCTAGGCTCCTCGTGCGCATGCTGCTTCTCGTGCTCCTCCGCCAGCTCACCCACTCCCTCTGGCGCGCCCCAACGGGGCACACTGTGGCCGAGACCCCAGGCAAAGTGCAGAACTGGCGTCGTCGGAACGGTGACTCTGGCAGTGCTCCTCCTCCTCCTCCTCCTCCTCCTCCTCCTCCTCCTCCTCCCGACCCTGACCTTGACCCACTAATGGCGAACATGTCATCCTGACGTAGCCATCACCCCCCAGGGCCAGTCGGCCCTGGTGGGATGATCAAACTAAGAGCCTGGCGACTCAAGGAGCATTCGCTCCAGAAGTCGCTCGCTCCGCCTCCTCCTCCTCCTGCTCCTGCCCCCGTACTCGAGCTCCACGAGGGTGGGGGGGGCTCCACGGTGACAGACGTGACCAGGCGCGGGCACGCCGCGCACTGGCTGCTCAACGCCGTTATCCCGTGCGCCGCGGGATGCCAGCCTGGAAATCATGAGGCTCACCAAGTGCGCGAAGAACAGACAACGTGTCTTACAAAACATGGCATAGCGACCTTGCGCGGGCCGACAGCGTGGCACGCCACGGTGGCCACGAGGACGCTTACGCGCGACCTTACGCGGGCAACTTGTGCGCATGTCGGCGAACATGGCACCGTTTTCTTCCGTCACTTAGGTGCCAGTGAGCTCGTCGCACCAACAACTGCCCCATTCGTCGATGTTGTTGTGTCCCACGGTGATGCTGCTGGCCGGCTTCTCCTCGTTATTGTTACCATCCTTCATATCATCTCTCTTTCTCTCTTCGTGTGTCATCCTCGCTATCCTCCTTCTTCCTCCTCCTCGTCCTGCTCCTCCTCCACCCTCTTGAACCCCCGCCTCGTCCTGCTCTCCCTCCTCCCCACACCCTCCATCATCCCTCCTCCATCCTCGTCCTCCTCTTCCTGCTCCTCCCTCCCTCCTGCTCCTCACTCCCGACCTGCTGTTCCTCTTCCTGCGTGGCCGCCCGCCTTTCTCGTTTCCCGCCGCCCCGCGCGCAGGGCCGCCGCGGAGGCCATTTCTCCAGCCGCGCCCTCCGCGCTCCTCCCGGGCGCGAGGCCAACGCCCCTACGACGCCACGGCTTCGCTGAGCGCCTGCGCGCGGGCAGGGGGCCCCTTTCTCGTTCGGGGGTGAAGTGGGGCATTTGGGCGGAGGAGGAAGGGGGGGGGAGGAGGAGGAGGAGGAGGAGGAGGAGGAGGAGGAGGAGGAGGAGGAGGAGGAGGAGGAGGAGGAGGAGGATGCATATATTTCCTGAGGCCAGAACGGATGATTCTCGCAGGGCAGCATGCAACTCGAATGCGACCGAAAGCGAGCCAGCATCTTCGAGCTAGCTCCAATCTTGCCGCAGCTTACGCACTAGATATACATCTAGACTGAATAGGCACGCAGTGGGATGGCTTAGGGCCTGAGAAAAACCGCTTGGGCCGAAGTGATGCGGCCAGGCGGGAACCATTAGCATTGCACGCTCTGTGACACTCCGCGGGCTCCGTTTCACAACGCTGCTACATGCATATATTTCCTGAGGCCAGAACGGATGATTCTCGCAGGGCAGCATGCAACTCGAATGCGACCGAAAGCGAGCCAGCATCTTCGAGCTAGCTCCAATCTTGCCAACAACCGCCACTATACGCGTTCTGGCGGTTGAGGCGGCCCCTTCATGAATCAGTTGCGACCATCGCTGCAGCAAACGGGGCGGGTAGGGCTCGGCGACTTGTGTCCACAGGCGGCCTCCGGGAGCCTTACCCTCGAGAACTTGGTGTGGTTTCTTGGAAAAAAACACAGACGGCACTGGCACACTGAGCGGCGAGCGGAGACAACAATTCTCTTTTGTCGTCCCAGCACGCTAGGGTGGTCTCTTTCCGCCACGGCATTCCATATCTACAATAGACTGTGTGCGTGAGAGACGCATGGCGCAACAGACATGTCAGTCCGGGCTGCCTCCACAGCCAGGACCTACGCGGATTTTCCAAGGGCGCTGGCACTTGATGGCGGACGCAGGCTCTGATGATACGAATTGTGGTTCGCAGCAGCTGATTGCCTATCCGCACCTTTTCGGCGTCAACTTCTGAAAGGTTCGGGAGACCGCAGGGATACTGGCAGGAGCGCAGCGGGCCACCTGGAGAGCCCGGCTTGCCTCGGCGCGCTCCTGAAAAACTTGCGCACGGTGTGCCAAGGTGGACCCATCTGGCCTGCGGCACAAGCTTCAGCACCGTACGAATGGATTTTTCCTTGCTCAAGTCCTGTGAGGCACTATCTCTGATGTCCCAAGTGCGGGCCCTCCAGCCCCGCTGCTGCAACGAAGCCGAGAGCCCTCCTTTTCCTGAAAAAAGCTCCAAAACTAACGGCCTGGCACGTGCCCTAGGCTCACACGAAGTCACCCGAGGCCCACGTCCTGGAGCAGCCGCGCGAAGCCGTTGATGCGCCCGTCCTTCAGGGCGCCCTCGAGCAGTCGGTCGGCCTCGGCCAGCACCAGCTGCCGGCCGCGGTCGAGCGAGGCCAGGCGGCGCATCACCCTGGAGCCCTTCTCGTAGCGCCTGACGCTGAGGTCGGACGCCCAGCGGCCTCGGCGCTTGATGGCCTCCAGGCTCCTTGCCTTGGTGAGCCGATCGTGAGACGGCCCGGAGTGGCGAAGGATGCACGGCGTCAACTCCCAGCTCTCGAGCCCGACGAGCGCGGCTGCCTCCTTGAACATGGCATTGAAGGCCGCGCCCGACCACGGAAAGAGGAGCTCCATCGGCTGTGACTGGAAAGCGACCTGCTCCAGCAGGGGCCCGAGAAAAGACCTCGCGGGGCTGTCGAGCAGGATCGAGTCGTTGAAGCCCCTGGTCCTGGTGGACTGCAGCTCCTCCTCGGGCCGCAGCACTAGGGACGTGAAGCAGTAGTCCCCCCCGGCATGCGGTTGCGCCGGCACCACGTGGTCCGCCCTGAGGGTCAGCAGCTCCCCTGGGCGCAGGTAGGCGTCCGCCGCGAGCGCCGCGCCGAGGGCCGCGCGTCGCTGGCCGAGGTAGATCAGGGCCACCGCGATGGCTGCCACCGCCGCCCAAGGCGCGGGCGCCCGCGTCAGCGGCGGCACCGGCCTCCGCCAGCCCTGCAGCGCCCTCGCCACGCGGGGCAGCTTCAGCAGCCTGCCTGCGTGGTGCAGCCTTGGGTCGCGATGCCCTATCGCGGCCAGCAGCTTGGCCCCGCTGTTCGACGGCTCCCCCCGGCTGAACTGCAGCTCCATGTACTCCACCACGGCCTCCTCCAGCTCGACGTCGCTCGCCGTGGTGAGTCCGTGGGTCTTGCAGAAGACGTCGAACCGCTCCAGCCTCCTCGCGTAGTCCTGCCTCGTCTTCTGGGTGATGCTCTCCTGCTCCAGCGTCGTGAGTCCACCAGCCCCGACCGGCCGCGCCCTCGCCGCCTCGATCGCTCGCGCGAACGGTGGTGGGGGAGGGCGGCCGCGGCGGGGCACACGGGATCGGCGAGACCTCGTCGATGAAAGCAGCCGCCGCTCGGTCGAGGATGCCTGGCCCGCTGCCGCTCTGACCGCAGGGGCTGGGGCAGGCAGACGGCGGGGCGGCAGCCTGTGGCTCTCTGACGAGGCGCCGCTCCTCCGCAGCACCCTCTCGCGAGGGGGGCTGCCAAGCCCGCGCGCACCATCCCTCTCGGGAAGCGCTCGAGCAAGCCTCGGCGGCCTCTCCAGCGGGCCGGCGTCGCCAGGCGTCCAGCGCAGCAGCAGCCGCCTTCTCAGCAGGCGAGTCGAACCATCGGCTAGGCTCATCAGCTGGGTTGAGCTCGCTGGCCACCCAGCGCACGCTGGTGCGAGAGAAGGAGGCCAGCGACAAGGCGGCCCACTTTCTGAGCAGAACCAGCACCGGAAATGACACCGCTCGGCCCTTCTCGAGGCCCAGGACCATACCCATGTTGTCACACAGAAACAAGTGGCGATGACGATGGTATCTAGCTTGACGACACTTACGCCTCCACCCGAACAGCACGGCCCTGAGCTCCTTAAGATGGATGGCCTCTCTCCTATGATATCTTCTTGCCTGGATGGTCCTCCACGAGCCCTCGCTGATGAACCCCTTGGGGATCTCCGGGAACTCCCGATTGATGCTGATGTCCACGTCCCCGTCGATGAGGTCTCCTAGGAAACCTGCTGGATAACCTGACTCCTCGCCCAAGTAGCCCTCAGCAGCGGCCCCAGCGGCCCCAGGAGCCCCAGCCAGAGGTAGATCCCGAAGCACTTGACGACGAGGGGCACCACTGAGGCCTTCAGGAACCCGTAGAGGCAGAGCTGGGTGTACATGATGTAAACCTTGGGGGCCCATGGGGTCAGCACCTGGGAGCCCCGGCGGAGGAGGAGGTAGAGGTCGCTCGTGTAGACTCTCACCCGGGCGCTCGAGCAGAGCTGCCTCGCGCGGGCGCAAGGCTGACTGGATGCGAAAGCGCCAGCGCTCACTCCAGCGCCCGACCTCCCGCACGGCTGGCGGCTTCATGTCGGCCTCCTGCACCGCATAGCCGCGCAGCGTGGCATCGGAGCAGGCGACGCGCCCGGACCACGGCAGATCGAACTGGACGGCCAGCAGCGGCATGAGGTGCAGCGCGTTGGCTAGCTCCTGCCGCACCGAGGGCCAGAGCGGCACGGGCACCCTGTAGTGCTTCCGGGCGAAGTCGTAGGCCGCCCGGAAGACGCACAAAGCGGGGCGATTCAGCAGCATGGCATGCGTGAAGTGGCCGATCATCTGCTCGACCTCCCGGCCAGCCACGCGCCGGCGCCGCAGGAGCGCCTGGGTGCCCAGCCCGAGCCTCCAGCGCTTGGCCCGCGCCAGCCGGGCCCGCAGCTTGAGGCCGTCCAGCTCCAGGCCCAGCGCCTCCACGACCGTCTTGCTCTCCTCGACCTCGTGCAGTGGCAGCCCGGCCTCGGTCATCACCTTGGCTGCCTGCCTCCTCGCACCCCGAGTGGCGCCCGGTCGCGACGAGACGAAGATCTCGTTGTCCACGTAGACGACCCTCGGCACCTGGGGAGAGTCCACGCTCGGAGCGATCTGCCTGTCCACCAGCTCGTTCTCGATGCCACCGAGACCTCCCCGCCGCAGCAGCTCGCGGTGCGCCTGCTGCGTCCAGCGCATGGCCCACGCGAAGCCCATGGGCAGCACCCGCAGGCACGGGTAGACCCACGACCCCTCTGAGACCGCGAGGCCGTCGACCACCTTCACGCCCAGCTGCCTCGCTCTGAGCGGGCGCATGCCGAACCACGGCACCATGTAGTCCGGCACGCGGAACTGGTATAGAAGCAGTCCGCGATGTCCTGGATCGAGAACTCCAGCTAGGCGCCGTCCTCGACCTCCATGTTCACTAGCGCCGCGGTGGACGCCATGTGAATCGTCGGCGGCCGCTTCAGCGCCTGGTTGACAGCCCGAGCGTCCACAATGAGCCTCAGACGGCCCGACTTCTTCTTCACAAAGAAGACTCCCACTTCAAAATCGCGACGAGTCCGCAGCTCCACCATGTCGCGGGCCAGCAGGTCCTGCACGAACCGCTGGTACTCGTCTGTGTCGGATTGCAAGGTCTTATCCCAGTACACCTTGGTGGCGCCTGGGCGAACCTCCTCAGCGCGAAGCATCATCGAATTCCTACCGTCGATCACCTCCTGGCGGTCTGGCTCCGGCAGCACCTCCAGCAAGCTGACACAGCCCGCCGACTCAGGCCACGAAACCAAGCCGCGATCATACGGCGCAACCACAGTGGGGCCGTCGGGGCCATAGCCCAGACTACCCATGCCGAGCAACTCCACGAGGGCTGCCTCGGGGCTGGGGGCGTCGTCCGGCGGCTTGTCGTCCGACACGGCCTGCCAGAGCATGTCCACAGCAGAAAATTGTGCCTCCGAAGGACGGGCCTTCGAGCAAAAGTCGCCCTCCCCGTACAAGTTGTTCAGGGCGGCGATGCAGTCGTTCACACGGCGGCCCACAGCAGACCTGCGGCCGATCCTCTGGGCGGAGCGACGCGGCAACGCCCGCGCGCCCCGAGCCGGCGGCACGGGCACCAAGGGCAAGGGCAGCATATCCCTCGGCACCATGCGCTCCAGCGGCCTGGTGGCACCAGCTGGGCACGGCCAACTCCCAGCCTCGAAGCCCATCATGACTTCTTCGGAGGAGCGCGCGCCAGAGCACGCTCCTCCGCAGCTTTGCGCTCCTCCTTCAAGATGGCCGAGTCCCGGGCCGCGGACTCCGCGACCCACTTCAGCAGCTCCGGGCTGATGATAGCCCCGCCCGTCCTCCTGGTGCGTCCCAGGTAGTAGTCCTGGGAGTCGAAATCCTTGATCGTCTCCTTCTTCTTCTTGACCTTGTGCTCCAGGAAATGCAGGTGCCTCGCGAGCGCCTCCATGCTCGCCAGGTTGGCCACGTCGACCTGGTCGTAGGTGCAAGCCAACTCCAAAATCTCCGACAACATCTCGTGGGCCACCACGCTATGCTCGTCGTCGTTGAGCTTGTTCTCGTGCTTCCACGTGGTGTGGCGCTGGACCGGGCCCCCGCTTTGCCTGGCAATCTCCTTCGCCACGTGCGAGGCAGTGCGGGGGCCCGACAGCGCCCAGTCCTCGAACTCACACTGCTCCGACGAGTCCGCCACACTCTTCAGATCCCGAAAGCGGCGGCCGGCCGCGTCCCGCTTGATGGCCAGCGCGCGGGCGTCCTCGGCGGGTGGCGGCGCCCGCGTCCCCCCGACAGCGCCCGGCACCGCGGACGCCGCGAAGGTCCGCAAGGCCTCGTCCGCGGTCTCGCCCGGCGCCGGCCTGACCAGGACCGCCGACCTGCCGCGACGGCCCAGGTCGTAGAGCCCGTGCTGCCCGAACGCCACGAAGTCCTCCGACGGCGTGTCGAGCGAGTCCGGGAGCGAGTGCACCGCGCCCCGCCTGACGTCGCCCTCGGGGACCACGCAGACCCAGTCGGCCCGCTCGCCAGTCGAGCCGGAGCCCGCGGCGCCCGCCCCCGAGGGCGCGCCCCCGTCAGCCAAGGGCGGAGGCTCAGGCTCCTCGGCGAGCCCCCGCGCCGCGCGCAGCTCCACGGCCTGCTCCTCCGCCGCGTCGATCCACGACTGCAAGGCAGCGCCGCGCGGCCGCTCCGTGAAGCGGTAGACCGGCTGGCCCTCGGCTGCTCCAAGGCCGGCCGGCAAGCCGCCTCGCGGGCCCGCCTGACGGAAGTCGGCCACGCTGCGCGCGTCGATCTCCTCCTCGTACATGTCCTCGTCGGGGGTCAGCACCAGGTACTTCGCCCCGCCCAAAGACGCGAGGATCAGCCTCTCATGCCACGGTTCCTCTGCCTCCCCGTAGTCGAGGAACACTGCGTCCCCTGCCTTCAGGTTGAGCGCCCGACGCACCAGCGACTTGGCCGGCATGCTGAAGCGTTAGCTGCACTTGCACGGGCGCGTCCACGACGGGTGCCAGCTGCTCCTGCCGCTCGGCTCGCGAAGGCGCCGGCGCGGTCTTCCAGAGACCCCGCGGGCCAATCCGCACCGACACCAGGCACGCGCAGACGGTCACCTGCGCCAGCAGCACCGCGAGGGCGCCGAGCAGCGCACCCAGGCCCCCGGCGACGACCGCCGCGCCCAGCGGCACTGGCGCCCCCCAGACGCCGGTCTCGGAGAGGCAGGCGCCGGCGCTGGTCGACAGCGCCAGGGCACAAGGGGAGACCTGCAATCCGCTGCTGGCAGCCTCGAAGGTGGAGGCTTTGGAGAAGGTGGCCCAGCCGAAATCTCCCATGCGCCGCCCTGAGAAAAACCGCTTGGGCCGAAGTGATGCGGCCAGGCGGGAACCATTAGCATTGCACGCTCTGTGACACTCCGCGGGCTCCGGCTCACAACGCTGCTACAGGAGGAGGAGGAGGAGGAGGAGGAGGAGGAGGAGGAGGAGGGGAAGGAGGAGGAGGAGGAGGAGGAGGAGGGGGAGTTTATCCAGACGGGGCCGCATGCGTGCGCTGGCTACGCAAGCAGACCCAGGCGCAAGCCCGACACGAAAGGAATAAGCTCGGGCACCTCCCAAAGGGAGTGCCGCGCGAGGTCGGGTCAGGCGGCCACCCCTACTCGGCGCGATCGTCATCCTCCACGACCAAGCCCCCGAGGGTGGCGTCGATGACGAACTCGCCGAATGGGCGTGGCCTCAGCTGACCCTGGTGAGTCGGCAGCAGCGGCCGCCCAGTGCGAGGGTGGCGGCCCTCCCAGAGACGGTCCAAGCGCGGCCGTGTCTTGTGGTGCACTCCACCGTGGCAGGGTTGCGCCAGCAGCTGCGCATTCTCGCTCGAGTGCGCCCCGCAGCTGGCACAGAAGACGAACTGGCCTACATGCCGGACGCGGTGGCCTCCGCCTGGGGCACGCGCGGGCGCGTCGAAGGCCTCGCGGTGCCGTGCCACGCGAAAGCACCGCGCACACCTGACACCGCCCGTGGGCGCAGGCACAGGCACATGCACACCAGGGGGCGGCTCCGTGTCCGCCGAGAGGGCAGGCGTCGGCCCCCTCCTCTGCGCCCGCCGCAGCTGCCCTTGGCGGGGCGCCGACTGCGAGTTAGGGCCGACCGCCTGCAACGCCCTGGCCAGGAACTTGGCCTCAAACGTGACCAGCTTAAAGGAACGCTGCACACGCGCGCTAGCCTCGGCATCCGACGGATGCAGAGCAGCGCCCACACGAGCGCCAGCATCTGCGTGATGGTTCCCCCATCGCGCGACCCCACCCAGCTCCTGCTCATCGTCATGACGGCGGCGGGCGTGGCCCTTAACTTTCAGTACCTCCACAGTCCCCCCCAGGTCGTCCACCCGATCCCATATCAGAGACCACGCGTCGGCACCCTCGCACGTGGCGCCCGTGGTCTCGAGGCAGCCTCGCTGAAAACTCGTGACCACCCATTCACAGTCCGTGTGGTGGCGAAAGGGGCCGGGCGAGACATGCTCCTGCTGTGTGAAGTCCCGCTCCGCCACTTCCTGAACGTGTAGCCTGCCCGTGATGTCCTCGGCTGCTTGGTCAGGTACTAAACGGGTGGTGCCTTGTTCATGCAGGGACTGAAGTGCCTCACGGATGGTACAGTTGTCCAATCCAGCTACCTGATAGGCGGCAAGTACCTGGTTGGGGGGGGGGGCTACTAGGGCGAGCCCAGTTTCGCTGTCCCTGTGCTGCGACCATACCTGTTGGAGAACGTCAATCGGTTGCGGGGCTGCGGTGGGTTCACTGGGGATGTGGGGGTTGATGCTCGGTCTTGCCCTTCATGTCATTTATCCTGCTCCTTGCCGCTCCGCTAAAGCGCGCACGGCCCCTTCCAGGTCGCGTCTGTATTGGCGCTATCGGCTGAGATTCCCACTTTGTCATCAAGGTCCGTGGGTTGTTCTCTGCCGTCCTTGGCGCCCCCGTCCTTGCCCTGCGTCTTAGTCTGGTTTCCCGGTGGCCTGTTTGCTGGGTCCGTCTGTTTCGGCTCCTGCTCTGCAGTCGTGCCGGGCCCCTTCGCGTCCTGCTTCTGCCCTGTCGTTTTGTTTAGTCTGAAGGCTGGCGTTGTGGTGTAGCCCCCGTGGCCGCGCTGGCTCCTGCCTGCTGCCCATCGGTGCCCAGCCTCCTCTGTTGGGAAGTTGGGGGGGGGGGGGGGGCTGCCCCAGCTTCCTGCGAGGGTCGCTCGGCGGGGCCCCCCAGAGGCGGTTCTCCCCTGAGGTTGGGCCAGGCGGGGTCGACGGTCCCCAGCCTGCTGGGGCTGGGGCCGGGACTGCTACCGGCGGCCACGGAGAGTATTTCTTCAAGAACCACTTCGGTTAGGGGGGAGAAAGGGCTCGAAGGCCCGCCTGCGTCGGGGCTTCTGCCTGTTGCGTCTTGTAGGTGCGCGCGTGCGTCATCCGCCGTTAGGTCTGCGCTCTTTGATGTTATGTTTCTTCCGTTGGGGCCCCTTGTGCCGATGGGTGGGTGCCGCGCCCAGTACGACTTGAAGGGGGCGATCAGCCTGTGTGAAATTTACGCCCTTGTGAATACTTGTCGCAACTGCTTCTCGAGTTGCAGCGTGCGCGTGCCCCAAGATATGGCGCTTAGTACTGTCCTCCATTTTGCTTCGTCCGTGCATCCCAGCCCGTTCCATTGGGCGGGTGGGCCAAGGGTGCGGAGCGTCTCGGCCGCACTGCTGAGGAGTTGCTCCAATTGGCGCCTCATGCAAGGTGGCAGGTGTGCGTTCGCCCTGGGAGCATCGCCTCTTCCAAGCAGGTCTCCGGGCGGGGTTCGGGCGACGCTGTCTGGGGGTGGTCTTGGTCTACCCGCCTGCGCTTGCGGTACCCCTTCTGCCTGGACCTCGCCTGCTGGTTCCTGCTGGGCTCGGTTCCCCCCGTCGCCTTCGCCTGTCAGTACGTTTCCCCCCGTCTGGGGGGCAAGTGTCGCTGCCGTCGGGTATGTGATCCCTGTTTCTCTCCGCTGAAGGGCCGGGTGCCGTGGGCGATGCGCCTCGCGGGTTTCTGTGGGCTGCTGCATTTGTTGGTGCTGCGTTCCCGTCGGTATCTGCGCATGTGGTGGGGCCCGCGTTCGCGGGCTCTGCCGTCCTGCGTGCTCGGCCCCGCGGCGTCTATCCCCGCCTTCCTGGCTGGGGGGGCCTGTCGTTCCCGTACTTGGGGTGCCGCTCGCGTGGGCGCTTCCTGGGGATGCCGACTGCGTGGCGTTGCCCTCGCCGTTGCCTCCCCCTTCTCGATGTCTCGGGATGCTCGCTGGGGAATGGGACACTTGGCTGCCCGGGCGCACGGTCTGCGGCGTGCCCGTCTGTGCCGCGGGGGATGGGTTAGCCTGTCGACATGGGGGGCTGTTGGAAGGGGTCTGCGGGCCCTGGGGAGGCTCCCGGTCCTCCGCCTGCGGGCCGTCTTGCCCCCTGCCGCGTGTCCCTTGCGGCTGCTCTTGCCTGGTCCGCGTATTCCGAACTTTGGCCTCTCCCGTGGGGTCCACTTGATTGCTTCTGGGGGTCCTTCGTGGCCTGGGCGCTCTCCCTGGGTCGCGTCGCAATCTGTCCTGGCTGGCGGCCCTTCGGAGCCTCTCATCTAGAGCCTGGATACCTTCAAGCGTACCTGAGGCCATCCTGTGTGTTGTGTCACTGTCAACGTCTGCTCCTCTGCTCCCTGGGACCTCCAGCCAGGGGTGATGGGCAGTGTATGTGGGGTCTGGTTCTGGGGAGAGCCACTGCGCGAAGGGGAGCTGCCCGGCGGCCTCCTCCTTTATTCCGAGCTCCCTGATGAGCTGGCGGAGGTGGCCCCTGTCCAGCGTGGCAGGATCTGTCAGCTGAAACATCAAAATGGCTGCAAAGAGATCCCAATTGTATATTGTGATGGGTCTGCCCTCCTCCTGTCGCCGCTGCTCCAATACCAGTCTGGTTTGTCTACTTCTAGCCAGGTCGTGAGTGCTCTGCTCGTCAATGCATGCCTGGAACCGGCCGATCATGCCTTGTGCGCACGCGACAGCATCGCTTTCTGCTCTGACCAGTGTGCTTCCTGTCTGGGTCCTGAGTCGCATTTTGTGTGTGCGAGCACTTCCGCGAGGGGGGAATACGTTCTCGGGCGAGCTGGGCCTGGAAGTGGATCCACCGCAGCATGTCTTCTCGGAGGTATGATCGTGCTGTGGGGCTGGCTGGTGCCGATTCCTAGCTCGTCGGGAGTCGGGGGATGTGCCGGCGCAGCGTCCAGCTTTGCCAGGTGCACCGGTCCGTATAGCAGCTGAATGGAAACCCTTATCAGCGGGCGATCAGCGCCTCGGCTGGCGGCTCTCAGATCGGCCTCGGCCGGCAGGGCGATGGTGACCCACATGGGGGTAGACGTGTAGAGGTGGCCGTCCTCGCCGCAGGAGGTGACGGATATTGCCCCGCCGGTAGCCACCGCTGCTGAGAGGTGTTCCCCTGGGTGAAGTATGGTGCTGTAGTCCCGCAGGCCGTCCCTGCTCTCTGTGGTCTCCCTCCGGGTGGGGAGTCGTCCGCTCATGCTGCTGTCTACCTCGCGCAGCCATTCCTTGGGGATGGCTGGGGGGGGGGCTCTTACCAGGCTTGCTCTTTCCCTACTGTCAACTCCCTCTGGGAGCGGCCACGCCCTGGTATGTAAGCTGGCTCCTGCGGAGGCATTTGAGGCCGAGAACATCCGTAGCCTGGTGTGGCTGGGGATCCAAGGGTCAGGGCGCATTGGCCGTGGGTGGGGGGAGCCGACCTGTCTTCCTCGTTGGTCGAATGTTGTGATCTCCAATATCTGTGGCTGCACCGCTCTTCTGGGGGCCTGTCGCACCGTTTCCTCGGCTATGGCTTCCCCTGGGGGTTCCCGTGTCACCCCTGATTTGTTCTCTTGAGGGGGTGGCTGGAAATATCCTGACCACTTGCGACCCCACTGTGATGCAGCTGGTCCCGCAAAAGGCTGCTGACATGCTGGCAGCAGCCCTGAGTCGGATCCTGACCTGCGTCATGTGGGTATACTCGCCTGCGTCTGGGAACCAGACAAACGCCGAGGAGACCTGCTCAACTGCTCCAGTACCTACTGTGGCCTCCACGGCATCCATGATCTCTTGTCGACTGGTTTGCCCTAGGTCCGCGAGGTTCCATCTAAGGTGGTGGCCTTCCTCTGGGTCGGTGAGTCTGATAAATGATGGGCCGCCGTCCCAGCTCCCCTCCATGAGGATCCTTCGGGGCCGCGTGCAGGTGAGCCGCTTGCCGATCCAAATACTCGGGGGAGCTTCTCCTTGAGGTATCGCAGTATGGGAGCCGCTACCCTTTCGGGGGTCTTTAGTAGGAGGACTCCTCCCCCCTTGAGGCCCGCTCTGTATCCTAGGGCTGCCGCCGCTTCTGCGGCGGCAGCCCTAGGATACGCGAAGCCTGAAAAATTTGCTCATCCAAATTCACGCGCTTGGAACGATACCCCTGGGACTGCGCAAGAAACCCGTGCACAAATGATGAGGCCTCTTCCAGAACTACTATTTCCATCGTGATGGACGACGCCGTTACAGACATGCACATCTAGGCCTTCGTGTAGCAGACTGCGGGCCATGTTTACCTGCCTCGCCCTCCTCCACCTCATCCTCCCATCAACTCGACATTTTTCAATCAACGCCCCCCCATGCCAGCCCGCCCGACGGCCCACCCGCACCCTACCCCCACGCCGACGCCACCCCACGCGATCCAAACCCCAACGACTGCCACCGGGCAGCCCAACTCTAGTGAGAGGGAACGCAGGGACCGGCTCAGGGGGGAGACATCGACCTGGAATCGGCGACACATCGCCCATAGGTCGACGATAGGCTGCCGATTCCAATAGTAAAACCGCACAATCCTGGGCGGCGTGGGCTGTCGGGCCCCTTATCGGCGATGAACGATCAATTGGGGGTCGACGCGTCCCCCCCCGAGCCTGTCCCCGCCTAGTCAGGGTACCCACGAAGGACGCACGCGTCCACCCACGTACATGAGCACGGCCCCCCAAACCGCGAGACCAGCCGCGTGATACAAACGTTCGCGCAATGCGTACCCTCGAAACCAACGTGGGTTCATGTACGCGTCCTGATTGGCGTCGCCCCTGATCTACCCCCTCCGACGCGATACCGCGAGGCAGCTTGGAGGAAGCGGGGGCGATATGAGGGGGTCCGGCTGGGAAATGCTGTCGGTCTCTGCGCCCATTCTTTCCGTACCCACTTCGATCGTCCCGAGCGGAGGGGCGGCCTCGCCTGCAGGCGCTCTCTGAGGCGGTCGCGCCTGCCCTCGGCGGCCGCGAGCTGGGAGCCGAGGATGGCGAGCTGCTGCTCGGCGATGCCCGCGGCGCTCTCCGCGCCGGCGGTGATGACGCTGCGCGTCGCCACGCGCGACGCAAGGCGAGAGGCCTCCGCCTTGTCCGCTGCCGCGCCCGCAGCGCGTCGTGCGCGCGAGTTGTGCTCCGTCTGTCTGTGCGCGTATCTGGCCCCGGCGCCCCCCCGCCGCCGCCTGGCCCCGCTCTGAGCGGGCCCGGCCTCCTCTCCCTCCCTCCGCCCGCGCCAGGCCTTTCCCCTCTCCCCCCACGTGCATCGCGGCTTAATCCGCATTTGCATGCTTCATATATGATCGCGGGCTCAGGGCCCACGGGCCCCCCCCCCAGATGGGATGGGTCCCAGGCGGCCCCCCCCCACCCCCCCAGATGGGATGGGGGGGGGAGGAGGAGGAGTTTTTGCTGTAGGCGACTGCCACACTAAGCTCCCGCGGGGATTAGAGGGCAGGCAGGGGGAGGAGGAGGAGGAGGAGGAGGAGGAGGAGAGGAGGAGGAGGAGGAGGAGGAGGAGGACGACGACGGCGACGACGACGAAGACACCGTCCGCTCCGGCTCCCAGAAGCACCGGAACACAACGCCACACCCAGAAGGAGGCGACGACGGTGAAGACACCGTTGACGACGATATTCCTTTTCCTCCTCCCCCCATCCGCCTCTCCATCCCTGGGACGACGACGACGACGACGACGACGAAGCCGACGACAACACGACGGCGGCGGCGGCGCCAGCGACGCCGACTCTTGGCTGAGGCGGACCCCTGACCACCGCACACCCACAGGGGGGACCCCACACCACTCCCACAGGGGGGGGGGGGCCACCACGCCACGCCCACGCCCACAGGGGGGGGCGCCATCGCGCAGGGGGGGGGGGGCCCGATGGCATTAGCATTGGGGGGGAGGGGGGGGGGCAAAACCCTCGACCGTATATGCTCTTTCCGCCAGCGCAGTCACACTGCCTAGCCGCTCACGCAAAAGTGTGTGTGTGTGTGTATCTGGAGGACTTCTTCTGCTTCGACGGCGCTGTCCTGTCGCTGCTCCTCTACTTGACGCGTGCCGCCCTCGGTGCCTAAGGCCACCTGCGCGCCCCTCGCCCGTCGACTTTCGCACGTCGGGCCTCCTCCTCGTCTCTCCTCCTCGTCTGTCCTCCTCGTCCTCGTCCTCGTCCTCGTCCTCCTCCTCCTCCTCCTCTTCCTCGTGCTCCTCATCCTCATTCGCATCCTCACGCTCATCCTCTTCATCGTGGTCTCGCGCGCCCCGCGCCCAGCTCGACCCGCGCGCCTGCGCCCGCGGGCGCTGCCGACTCGCAAAACTGCATGGGGAGGGGGCAGGGATCCGTCAGCATCGACTCGGGAAATCGGCTCGGATCGGAGCATGCGTCGGATCGGGCCGCATCGGCGCGGAGTCGAAGTCGGATCTGGCAGGCTGCGCCAGCACAATAGCGCACCTGTAAACATCGGAACGCATCGGTTCGTCGGAATGTCGGAATCGAATCGGATCGGGCGGACCGAAATCAATATCGAATCGGATTGAAATGGATCCAGAGGGGGGCATTCGTTTTTCCCCACAACAACGCTTGCACTTAACAGATATTACTTCCGTTCTTAGGACCTGGGCCTGCGGGCCGCTCTGGTCGCCATGTGGCCGCTGTCACCGCCTCGTCGCCGCCGGTCGCCATCCATCATCAGGGCATTGTATGGCAGTCGCATTGCAATCGCACTGCATTGCATTGCATTGCATTGCATTGCATTGCTTTTGCGTTATTTTGCATTGCGTTGCATTCCACTGCATTGCTTCGCATGGCTTTGCAGTACTTTGCATTGATGTGCACTGACTTGCGTTGCATTGCCTTTCGTTGCTTTGCACTGCTTTGTATTGCTTTGCCTTGATTTGTCTTGCTCTGCATCGATTTGCATGCTTTGCACTTTTTTGTTTTGCGTTACTTTGAGCTGCTTCGCATTGCTTTGCGTCGCGTTGTGTTGCTTTGCGTTGCTTCGCAATGTGTCGCATGATTTCACATGCTGATTACATTGTTCTGTATTGTTTTGCACCGCGTACATTGCACCACATGGGTTACATGATCTAGATTGCACCATATTGGTTGCAACAACTACATTGCGCCGCATATATTGCAAGACATCTGCCGCCCCTTCGGCGTGTGCGAGAGGCTTTGTCGTCTTCGTCGTCGTCGTCGTCGTCGTCGCCAGCCGCAAGGCGCTTGAAACACAAGGGAAAGAAACGTCGAAGAGTCGATGATAAGTCGATTCCTATCCTTTTTCCCCTTCCTCCTGACGGGTGTGGGGGGGAAGGGGGGCGGGGGGGGGGCCCAAATCATGATGCCGCACCCCCACGGGGTCCCAGCTGGCCCCAGGGGGTCGCCAGCGGGGGTCCCAGGGGAGGTCCCGCCTTCGGGGTTGGCGGCGCCAGCCATAAGGCCTTCGCAAGATCACTCTTCGGGCCTCCACGCTGGCTCGGCATTGATTTGGAGCGGGGTGAGGGGGAGGCGACGGGAGAGGGCGCCACAACCCGATTGCCGATCCATTCCTCAGTCCTCCGTGGGCTGAGCGCCGAAGTCTGGATCCATGGGGCGGGGCATCCCTTTTTACAGTGCGGGCCCTGGGATACCAACAACCCGCGCACTGACGTTGCCCAGGGGAGCAACACCCTAACCAATCTGCAGCAAGTTGCAGAGTGCACGTGCCCGTGCACATCCGAGGGGATCGCCGCGCTCAACGCCCCGTGCGGTCGACGCGAAACAACGCCAAGTGGAAGTGGAGAAAAAGAACCGGATACGGAATGACGTCGGTGAAGTGGCATGAGGTCTACGTTTGCGCAACTGGTAACACCCAGGAGGAGCGAGGTCTCGTTGGGGCCTGTGCATGGCCGCACTCCGCTGGACCCCCACAGGCTTACGAACGTGGCGACGTCTGCGCAGTCAGCACCACCTAAAAAGCCCGAGGTATCGTTTGGGTCCCCGTATGGCCGCACTCCGCTGAACCCCCCACAAGCTCGCAAATGTGGCGACACTTGCGGAATTGGTACAACCCAGGAGGAGCGAGGTCTCGTTGGGGTCTCTGCCTGGCCGCACTCCGCTGGACCCCCACAGGCTCACGAAAATGGCGACAGCTGCGTAATTGGCACCACCAAGGGAATACGAGGTCTCGTTTGGGTCCTCGCACGACCGCGCACCGCTGAAATCTCTACAACTTCACACATGTAGCGGCCTTTGCGCAAGTGTCACCACCCTGCGAGGGTGAGGTCTCGATTGGGTGCCCGTTGAACGTTGCTCCGCGCGACCTTTTGGGAGCTGCCGAAAACAGCGACAACTGCAGAATTGGCAATACCGGGGGAGGTCGAGGTCTCGCTGGGATGCCCATGCGACGTCAAATCCGCTGGGCCCTGCACGCGCTCGCGAAAGTGGCAAACAGCTCTGCAAATGGCGCCGCCCACGCAAGGCGGGGCGGGAAGGAGGAGCAGCAGTGCTGTGTTCAAAACGAAGACCCAATATATTTTTGTCCGAAGGCCTGGCGAGCTCGAGAGCTGGTAGATCAGCTCACAAACGCTGAAAAAAAACTGACTTGACCCATCGAGGAGAAAGGGACACTCGGGCAGAGCGGCCGTGCGGGGGGGAAGAAGGAAGGGAGGGACGAACTCAAACCGTGCAGCAGGGCTGAACCTAAACCGTGTTTTTCGTTTTCATGTTGTCTTCGTCATCCCTCGCTTTTGTCTCGAATTCACCTTTACCGCAAGACGAAGTCGAAACGAAAACGGCCCACGAAATCGCCAAAAACACCGTTTAGGTCCAACCGTGCCGTACAGAATTGCGTCAGCGCCCAGCGGCCCGGACGCGACGAAACCGCAGGCAAAAAACAAGGAACCAACACGGCAGGGGCGGGAGTCCGCCGACCCCCGCTGGCCAGGGGTGAAAAAAACACGTGTGATACGACGGGAAGAAACGGGTCTTATGCGAGATGGCATAGCGACATTACGCGGTGGCTTACGCGGGCCGCCTGCGCGGCACGCTACATTGGAAACGAAGGCGCTTACGCCCGACCTTACGCGGCCAGCTTGAAGACGACCCCGTTTTTCTGCATCGCTCATTTTGCTGTCCCCCTTCCCTTTTCTCCCTCCCCAAGCGTCCAAAAACGCGTTGGGGGGGGGCTCGTCAACGCACCGTGAGGGCCTCCGCAGTTTCCACATATACATTCCGTGGCCTCCAAGATGCCCAAGGTGCCATCTAACCTGGATGAAGATGGGCTCCAACACTCCGCGGAGTCCTTCCAAAACGACCAATGTGGCGTCAAAACAACCCAAGGAGCCTCAAAGACGCCCCAAGAGGGCTCTAAGCCGACCGCCGAGAGGTTCCAAAGAAGCAAGGATCGCAGAATTCCGGCACGAACTCGTATGTTCTAGCGTGTTCGCACGTTTCATCTGATCAGCGTCCATGACGGCTCAGGAGGCCTCCACAATTTCTCCAAGATGGCCCAAGAAACCCCCAGGAGGGCCCCAAGACAGCCGAAGATGGCCTAAAGACGGCCCCAAAGGCGCCCAAGATAGCCAAAGAGGGCCCCAACAGAGGCCCTTCCAAGACTACCCTCGAGACCGCCAGAAGGCGCACAAGAAACACGCAAGAGACGTCCCCAAAATTCACAAGGCGGATTCCGCCACAAGGCGCGCGCGCACACGCAGACGCGCTGCCCGTGCCAGCGCTCCTGTAGAGCACTCCGACGGGCCACAAGGGCCCCGCGAACCCTCAGGAGCCCCCAGGGGAGAGCATTGCCGACGTCGCGCTGCGATGCGGCACCATCTTGCGCGCCAGCTCGCCGAAGACATACGCCGTCGGCTCACCTGGGGACCACTATCTTAACGATCCGGGCCCTCTTCCAGCGCACAGGCGCCACGATAGGGCCGAATTCCACGCCATGCTCGCGGCACTGCGTGACCCTGCTCTCCGCCAGCTCGAAGGCCTGGTCCATGGCCACTTGGTCCTCGACCCGTTGGGCCTCATGGGAATCCTCGACTGCCTGGGGCAAGCGCAACGCGTAGTCCTTCGCCTCCTCTGGGAAAGCGTCTACCTCGGCCTCGACCTCGCCCTCCGCCATGTTCTCCATGACCTGCTTCTCCACGAAACGCTCCCAGCCGCCACGACTCCCCGCGCCTTGAGAGGCTCGCCCATGTGGGTTGCCCCATCCTTGTCGGCCCGCATCTCCTCGACCTGATGAACCTTGGCCTCGGACCGTGTGCCCAATTCTTACAATTCGTTCTCCATCGCCTCCACGGAACAGGCGGCGGCCGCCCGCACCTCCAGAGACGCCCTAAGCCGGGCACGTGAGAGCCGCGCCTGCTGGTCCTTCCAGGCCTGCGCTGCACCGATTCCCTCGCCCAATTTCGCCGTCAGCACCGCCACCTCGTGGAGTGCTGCTTTGAGCTGGTTTTCAAGCTCGTTCGTCACGGGGTGCTGGCCGTGCGCTGCGGTCCCCCCCTTCATAGAGTACTTGTCGTCCGTGGTGCTCTCCTCGAGCTGTTTCTCGTCCGCCTGCTGCGGTCCAAACTGCTCGCCAGAGTCCACGTCAACACAATCCTCTGCCCCGCACGCCAACCAGGACTTGACGCTGTTGAGGGTAGCCTCGACCCCGACAAGATGGCGGAGAAGGCTGCTCGCTGCGCCCAGGTCCCACCAGTCACCAGCGTCGCACCAGCTCAGTCGCAGGCCGCTTGCCGCGAGTGCGCAGGCTGCGCGATCTCGCCGCCAGTGTCGCCCGGCCAAACCTTGCCAGAATCTCGGCCGCCACCCCCTGCAGCAACCACGCGCGGTTGCCGAAGGCTGGGCGGTGGCCTTCCATCTCCGTCACGTTCGCCTGCGGAGCCGCCCTGGCCGCAGCTCGCTCCCTCGCCCCTGCGCCGGCGACACCCGCCTGCAGGAGCAACGTGAGCTTCGCGGCCTCGCTCAGCGTCGCAACGGACGCCAGCGCGACACCGTGGCGGACCGTGATCCCCCGTCCGCGACCGATGCGCCCGCCGCCGCCGCCGCGCACCATGCCTGCGCCGCCGCGGGCCCGCGCAGCCCACAAAGCCGCGCGCGCGCGCACCGCCCGAGGGCCTACCCGCAAGCGAGGCGGCGCACCTCAAGAGCCAGAATGGCGACGGAAGAAGCACCCAAGAGGCCCGAAGAGGCCCCCAAGCGGCCCCAAAGAGGCCCCCAGAGGGTCCTCGGCAGGCCCCCCAAAATTCCCCGCCCGTGGAGTCCTTCCCTCTTCTGGGGGGTCTCCGGAATGGCGTAAGCCTCTTGGATAAACTTTCGGATGTGGTCCGCGCAGATCTCTCGGCTCGGCGTCAGGATTATCTCGGGCGTGTCCTCTTACAGGCAGATTTTGGAAGACAAATAGAAAATAGCCAAATATAGGCAAACAAAAATCAAACATAGTAGAAAATCATACCCAGACTAGTGTTGACTATTTTGAATATTCCTCCTGTAGAGGGACATGCCCGACTTAATGTCAGGACCCTTCCTCCCCGCGCCCCAATGCGGAACGCGACCGGGGGAGGCGCCGCAGGCGCCCGCAGCCTGCCGCCGGGGCGTGGGGAGTGGGGTGTCCAGCGCCGACCCAAGAGATCCGTGCGGACTTCCGAAAGTGCACGCCTGTTGTGCCGCCTTTTGGTCTTCAGATGCCGCCTCATGGTCGCATCGACCCCCGCTGGCAGCGCGCACAAGGGATAAGGGGAGGGGGAACGGCTTCTCAGGAGGAGCCTGCTTCTCAGAAGGCGCGGGCATTGCATCTATGGCTAAGGCACGCTCCTTCCAAGAAGCAGGGGTACTTCTAACAAGCCTTCCCCCTCCCCCCCTACCCCCCCCTCTGTCCAAGAAGAAATGGGAAGATGCTGTCTGGCGTTTACTGCAGACAACGACATCGATTCTTGGACAAAGCGGGCCGTGGACCGGGAGTGGCATCCCGTGTCAAGAATTTCGCCAGTGCTTCAACAAGCAACGAGGCGGCACGCGCTGAGCTGCGCCCCTCGCGGGCCTCTTCGGGGACGCAGCCACTTCCACTTCCACCTCCACTTCTACTTTCCCCCAGCCCCCTATGCGCGTGGCTGAAGTTGATCAGCCCAGCCCCAAAACGGCGCCTCCCGCCCCCAAAGCGCCTCCCAAGGGAAGGGGCCGGTGGACGGACGCGCGCGGCGGCGCTGCCCCGATAATTGGCCTGGCAGAGCTGCTGGGACTGTGCCACGCCCTTCTCGCCCTCCCGGCACTCCAGCAGCATGTCCTCGGGACTCACAGAGACATGCTAGTACTGTGCGTCCTCCTTGGAGGAGGCGCGCGTCCGACCCAAGCATATAGTAGACCCATCTTGTAGTACATCGTTTCTCGAGAGGCATGGCCAGGCAGAGGCGAATCCAGCCGTGGCGATTAAGGCGTCGCAGGAGGCCCAACAGGGGGAAAACGGGGCAAGAAAAACGGGGCAACGAAGCCCAAACAGGGCACGGAGCATAGCAAGTTTGTGAAAATCACGACCAGGGCGCTGGAGCCCTGCACTTTTCGAACGGAACCGATCTCCGATGGTCCCTGGCTCCGAGAACACGCCCCATGTCAACAAAACGCAACGCCTGGATCTCCGGACATCGGCAATGTGAGTCCAGGAAGTACATGTTGCGTGTTCAAATGACCTTGGGCCAAGAACAATACATGCTTGAGCTGCTCAAGATCGCCAGAGCCACGTCTCTCGACATCTCGTGAATAAACTGAAACGCCGCAGCTCCGTAGCCGCCGCACCCCGCGGCGGAAGAATACTACATCCTTCGCGGCGGGCGCTGATCTCGCTGAGGAAAGACGGGAGGGGGGTCCTCCCTAAACAACAACTTCTAGGGTCAGCATTACCTGCCTGTTCTTGGAGGCGGCCAGGGGGTCTGAACTGGTTAGGGCCTGGGAAAATCGGTCAGGAAGCGGAGATGAAGCCAAATCCGCTCAAAATCTGTCCTTGGACCCCTGGCCAGTTTTGCACGGCCCCGGGGCCCGAAAACGGCTCCAAGAGTCCGAACCCAACGGCTCAAACCTGCCCGCCCTCCCTGCTGGCCGGAACCAGTGCTGTGCCACCTCAGACCGCCGAACGGCTCCAAACCTGCTCCTGCTCCGCGGTCCGCGAACACGTCGTCGATCCAGTCCCGGCCCTGCCAGCTCGCGCGAGCCGCCGAGCGCAGGCTGCGCCGGGCGCCGGCGTGCAGCAGCGAGGCGCGCGCAGCCAGGCGCCTCGCGGCGGAGGCGGCGTCGAGGAGCTGTGCGCTCAGGGCCTCGAGCTCGTGCTCGACCTTGGGAGGCTACGTGTTCGACCATGGACTCCATCTGCCTCGGGCGGTCTTCGGCGGTCTTTGGTCTTTGGTCTTTGGTCTTCTGCAGCCGCAGCAGGTCTTTGGTCTTGCCAGCCCCCACCCAAAGCTCTTGGCTGGCAATAGATTCTGCGCGTGCCCTGGTTCGCCGTGTCCTTCTCGTCGTCGTCCTCCTCCTCCTCTGTCTGCTCCTCCTCCTCTCCTTCTTCTCCCCTTCTACTCCCCCTCCGCGACGGCGGCGGAATGATCATTTGCCGAGTATTGTTGGGTGTCAGCAACCGTCTAGCAGCTTCCAGAACATTCTGGTTTGCGCATTATCTGTGGGGGTCATTGAAGACCAACTGCGGTGGAAGCAGAACCAGGACAGGGACAACAGCGGACAGGGATACATCGGAGATCTCTGAGATGCGGCGGTTCTGGAACACGCATCGGGCGCCGCGGCCGCTCCAGGGCACCCCAGACCGCTGCGAGGGTGTTCTGGAAACGCTCTGGAACGATGGTTCATCCACGTCCCAGCCCCGCCCGATCCTTGCGCGGCGACAAGTGTGTGCGGGGGGGCAGCGAGGGCTGCAGAGCAGGGGCCTTTTGGGGCCCCGAAGAGGGCACCTGTATTCCGCCCCATACATCGCCCCCCGCTGATTCGCGCCCAAACTATTACGCGCCCTCCTCGGAGGCACACGTCCGAACCGAACAGGTAGTGCAAACGTCCGGTGGTATGTCATCACCCGGGCGGTATGGCCAGAAAGCGCCGGCCACCGAGCCCATGTGCTGTAAGAGATTTCTGAGCGCGCGCGCCGCCTCTCGGTGCCGACGCGCACACGTCATAAGGATGGTTTGGCTGGTGACGACTTCTCAGAGGTCCTCTTAAGACGAGGAGGAGGTGACGACGACGAAGACGACGACGAGAAGGAGGGTCGAGCGAATTCCCCGCCGAGAGAAACAGGGGGGGAGCAAAACTACAGACCTCCTCAGGTTAAGGTGGTGGCGACTTCTCAGAGGTCAAACGACTGACTAGGGCTACCCTGATGTTCTTCGTGCCGGTTGGATGTTCTCGTGCCACCTGGGGGAGGGTAGCCCTCGAAGGCTCTTCGGTATGGCCGGCGGAATGTCTCATCTTCGCAAAGGATGTTCTGACTCAGCCCGAGGGGGCCACCAAGCCGGAACCACCCAGAGTGAGCCCCGGAGTAAGCGCCGGATAGGGCCAAATGAGGCAGGATGGCACTGGCCAGTACACCAGAGTTCGCGGGAATCTACCAGATTCAGCCGGGGATTCTACCAGATTCTACGACGGATGTACCGGCGCCGATGCTGAACTTAACTGCGTGGACAGCGAGCGACCACAACCACATCGAGGACACGCCCAGGGGGATGCCTTACGCATGCCAAAAGATGTCGGGACACCGAAACTCGCTTCGTACTGGTTGTCGTCGATCTGGCGCCCAAGGACGGCCCAAATCGACCACAACCACAACCCAAGTGCTCATGCCGAGATCGGAGAGCTCTCCCCCGAGGGGCCCTCCCGAAAAATCCGCTCAAAGTTGTGGTTGTTGTCATTTGATGCGTCTGTCATAAGTCGAGGGGGGGCGAAAGGGTAGGGTAGCAAAGGGTAGGGTAAATAATCAGCTCACGTAGCTTGTTCTCCTGGCGTCTCCTGGCGACGGGAGGCGCCCGTGTATCGAGGAATGGGCCCGGCGGCGGGGCCGAAGCCGCCTGCATGTAGCAAATGTTCTAGCCCCTCTTTCCCACACAGCCAGACCTAGGAAACAACAATGTCCTTCAAGAACATGAGACCCTCCCATGGCCAACTCACACAGAACAATCGAAGGTGCCCTCCCCCAGGATGCACCAGAACATCCGGCAAGCACGAAAAACAAGAGGGTACCCTCCCCGAACCGACCTCGATCTTATAACCTGGTGTGGCCGTACAGGTGCGGACGCGGCCGCAAGAAACCCAGCCCTGAAGACCCGCGCGAGAGGTGCGACTGGGGGAAGAGCCCAGGGCACCCGAACGCAGCAGCTCCTTCAACGGCCGGGGGAAGTCACCGCGCAGCGCGCGTTAGCGAAGAAACCCAGGACACCCTGACGACAAGCATATGGTTTCTTCATGCGCGTACCCACTGTATCCTACCATTTCGTGCGGCCTGGTTCACCGCCCTGGAGTTGCATATCCTGACCGACCTGCGCCAGCTGCGCCCGCCTCTGGGCGACCTCCGCCTCTCAGCGGCGCGCGCCAGGGGAGCGGCGCGAGGGGGCGGGGCCTTGTGTAAAAAGGGCCCAGAGAACGCACACACACAGTGACACGCACACGCAAACACAAACACACACACACACACACGCACACACACACACGCACACACACACACACACGCGCACACACGATCACACACGCACACACATACACGCACACGTACGCGCACACACACACACACACACACACACACACGCATAGACACAAACACACACGCGTACACACGCACGCACGCACGCACGCAAGCACGCCCGCGCGCACGCGCACACGCACGCACGCACGCACGCGCGCACGCACCACACTCACGCACACACGCCCACGCACGCACGCATGCACGCACACACACACACACGCACACACGCACACACACACACACGCACTCACTCACACACACACACACACACACGCGCGCACGCACGCACGCACTCACAAACGCACGCAGACACACGCACACGCACGCACACGCACACACACGCACACACGCACGCAGGCCCAAACACACATACACACACGCACGCGCGCACGCAAACACACACACAGACACGCACACACACACGCACTCACACGCACACGCGGACACGCACACACACATGCACATTCAAGCACATGCAGGCACGCACACACACACACACACACACACTCTCTCTCACACGCACTCACACAGGCACACGCACGCTCGCACACACGCACACACGCGCACCCACGCACGCACGCGCAAACGCACGCCCGCGCGCAAGCACGCATCGCCATACACACACGCACGCACGAAAGCACGCACGCACACACGCACACACGCACGCACGCACGCACGACCGCACACGCACGCACACAAGCACGCTCGCACAGACACGCGCGCGCACACACACACACACACACACACACACACACACACACACACGCACACACGCACACGCACACGCACGACCGCACACACACACACACACAAAAACACACACACGCACACAGGCGCACACACGCGCGCACACTCACACGCACACGCAGACACACGCACACAAGCGCACACACGCACACAGGCGAAACCATACGCGCACACACACGCACGCGCACACGCGCAGCCTCACGCGCACACGCACGCGCACATATGCGCGCACACACGCACGCACGCACGGACGCCCGCCCGCCCGCCTACCAAGAAGCACGCGCACGCGCACGCCCGCCCGCACGCGCGCACGCGCGCACGCACGCACGCACGCACGCGCGCGCGCACTCACTCACGCACGCGCGCACGTGCGCACGCACGCACGCAAGCACGCGCGCACGCACGCAAGCACGCACCACACACACGCACACACGCACGCTCGCACACGCACGCACATACACACACACGCACGCACGCACGCACATACACACACACACACACACACACTTTTTTTGGTCTGCGGGTCGAGAGCGAACCTCTTCCAGTGAAAAGTTAGGCGGGCTACGCAAAGCTCTCATTGGGGAGACAGAGCACAGGCGGGCGGTGCCTCAGGCGGCCGGAGGGCGGGCCAGGGTGCAGGCGATGCCGAGGAGCTTGCACAAGAAAAGGAACGGCTTGGACAAGAGCCGGAGGCGAAGATCCGGAGGGTGAGCGGTGTGGTGTTGCCGTCAACGGCGCATCGCAAACAACACACACACACACGCACACACGCATACACACGCACACACAAGCACACACATACACGCACGCACACAAACAGTTACAAGCACGCACGCACGCGATCGCCCGCCCGCCTGCGTGCACGCATGCACGCACGCACACACACGCACACACGCACACACGCACACGCACACACACACACGCACGCCACGCACCACACACACACACGCACACACGCACATACGTACACACACAAACGAACACACGCACGAAACACACGCACACGCACACACACATACTCACAGACGCACACGCACACACACACACACACACACACACGCGCACACACACGCACTCACGCACACACACACACACACACGCACCCTCACACGCACACACGCACATACGTACACACGATCACACGCACACAGGCACACACCTACACACGCACACACAAGCGCACACACACACACACACACGCACACACACACACGAACACACGCACGAAACACACACACACACGCACACACACACACTCACAGACGCACACGCACACACACACACACACACACACGCACACACACACACACACACTCACGCGCACGCACTCACCTCGCACGCACGCACGCGCAGGCACACAAGCAAGCAAGCAAGCCAGCACGCACGCACGCACGCACGCACGCACACACACACACACACACCCCACACACACACACACAGGGACAGGCACAGTCACAGGATTCCCCATATTCTTCATGTTTCCTGGATATTCGTCTTCCACTGCACTTCCCATACAATCCCTATTTCTGGGGATCGACGTGTTATGTGTGTCTGTGTGTTTCCCTCTCGATCTGAGAAGGCGAAGAGCCCGTCGGCTTCCAAGGAACGTTCTTAGAAGCCTCTGGGCGCTTCTCAGGAACCCCCCCGCCTTCTTTCTGAGACGACCGCGGGGGGGCCAAGGGAATAGGGGAAGTTATAAGCGGGGTTACGGAGCTGAATCCCCCCCGTCGATTTTGAGACTTTTCGGTTTGCTGTTCCTTTTTTTGTGGGTGGGTCGTTCGATTTTTTTGGGGGGGGGGACTCTGTCTGAATCGTTCCCGTTTCCGTTTCCTGTTTTCTCGTGCGTCGGTGGGGCATGGCCAGGAATGCGCCTGGGGCTTCGGGGAAGGGGGGGGGCCTTGAGAAGGGGGGGGCGCCGTTTGGTCACGCTCTCGATTGTGCGACCCCTCGCACAATCAGATTCGTGACCAGGGTTTCCAACCTGGGGGGGGGGGGAGGGGGGGGGGGGGAAACACGTTACAAATCCATCATGTGTTTTTGTTTGTTGTTTGTTTGTCCCCCCCTCCCCCCTTTCTCCTCCCATCGCATTCTCCCCCTCCTCCCTCCCGTCCTTAAGCATCACAAACAAATCCCGTCGGAAAGCAACGCAAACATAGTCGATGTCCTCGCAACAGGAATCCGCTGGGAATCATTCCCAAGGGATTAGATTGGCAAGCCTCATAATCGGAGTTCTTTGGAAAGCACTGCTGAGGGTACGTATGGGAAAACATCACATGATAATCCCCTGAGAAACGGCACAACGAGATCATATTGAGAGCCTCGCATCAAGAATCCTTTGGAAACTGCCACGAAAGGATTCAATTGGAAAGCCTCGCGCTCAGAACTCTGTGCGACATGCTACATGTTAGACACAATTATACTTGCAAATCTTTAGGATGCGTTTCAGAAAGACTCGGTGGGGAAAGTTTTCAACTGGAGTCCGGTTGAATGGAATCCAAAAGACTGCATCGGAAGGCTTCATTAAAGGGATCCTTTGGACAGCACAGAACAAGGTTGTATTGGAGCGCCCGCAACAAGAATTCTTCGGAAATCACCCCACATGGTTTCTATGGCCTAGCAGCAGGAATCCGTTCGGAACTATTGCAATGAAGGGTTCTGTTGGAAAACGTGGTAAGCGAAACAGTTTAGAGCATTGTTGAGTGCTTTTATTGGGACGCATCACAGGAGGAAGCCTTCGGACAGCACAATAGATTCGATTGGAAAGCCTGGGGCTTCGAAGACTGTGCGAAATGCACTCCAGGAAATCCATAGCTATGGCCTCACAACACGGATCCTTTGGAAAGCGTTAACAGCACGCACCCTGGTAAGACAATCATAGTTGGAATCCGTTGGGAAGCGCCCCATAAGGATTCTGTGGGACAAAAGCAAATGGAACCCTTTTTGGCAAGGAATGTAACAATTTTCATCGGCCGGCCCCGCAATAGAGATCGCTTGAACAGTGCAACGCAATGGATTATATCGGAGCGCCTCGCAACAGGAATCCTTTGGAACATACCACACACGGATTGCATTGGAAGGCCTCACAAGAGGAATCCGTTGGAAAGCAGCACGAAGGGCTCCTACTGGAAAACATCACAAGAAGAATCATTTGGAAAACGCTTCGACGGACTCCTTTCGGGTAGCACCACAAAGGGGATCCTTTGGAAGCCACCACGCAGGGATTCGATTGAATTGGAGAGCGCCGCTAAGAGGTTCCTAGTGGGAAGCCGCACAAAAAAAGGAACCCATCAGAAAGCACCACAGAGGGATTCCATGGGAAGGCCTCTCACAGGAAGCCTCACAGCATGAATGGTTTGGATAGCGCCGCAGGGGGATTCTATTGGAACGCCTTTCGACAGGACTCCTTTGGAAAACACCACACAGAAATTATACTGGAAAACCTCGGAATGAAGATCCTTTGGGAAGCGCCACAAAAAGATTTCACGGAAAATCCTCACAATGGAAATCCTTTGAAACGCGCCGCAAAAAAAGGCTTCGATTGGGAAGCGTCGCAAAAGACATCCTTCGGAAAACACAACAAAGATATTCTATTGAAACGCCTTACGCTCGGAGTTCAGTTGAAAACACAACGGAAAAACTCCGCTGGAAAGCCTCAAAACAGGAATTCTTCGGAAAGCATCACAACTGCATTCTGTTGGAGACTATAAGGGGGGGAAAGGAGGGCGTCATGGTTGGGCGGAGAGAATGCAGGCTGGCGGACCGAAGTGTGCATGGACAATCGAGAACAAAAACGAAACCATACACAACCGCCGACGCAGTAAAATGTCAAACACGCAGGAGGGGATTTGGACCCGAAAAATATAAGCGGATGCCGAGGTGGAGATATCGGCCCAACCTGGTTTATAGGTGGGTCACAAGTACCCCAAGTAGCTTAGGATGGCCAATGGCGCTGCGGAGTAAGTGGGCCCCGCCCACTTAACGGAGCTATGTACCTACCCGCCCCAAACCACTTGGGACGATGTCTACCCCCATTAGCCACTTGGGGCGTCTGTAATCCACGTATAAACCAGGTCGGGCCAGGTATAA